GATTAAAGGCTTGTGCCACCTTGCCCGGCACAAGGGTTTTTTGTTTTGTTTGTTTGTTTGTTTGTTTTTGAGACAGGGTCTTACTATACAGCCCTGGCTGGCCTATAACTCCCTGTGTGGACAAGGCTAGCCTCCAACTCATAGAGATTCACCTGTCTCCACCTTCCAAGTGCTGGGATTAAAGGTGTGCACCATGCTAGTACATTCATGTAGAAATAAAAGACACTGGGCTGGGAGGAGGCAATGTATACATGTAACCCCAGCACTGGCGGGGCAGGGAAATAGGCAAATCTTGAATGCTCACTGGTCTAGGTAATTGGTGAGCTCCATGTTCAATGAGAGACCCCATTTCAAAGAAAAGAGATAGAGAATGATAGAGGAAGACATACGTGATTGACCTCCGGCTTTCACATGTGAATGGTTGGGTAGGAGCACCCACACAGAAGCCGGGGATCTCTCTGATATCGAGGCCAGCCTGGTATACATATGGAGTTCCAGGCCAGCTGGGACTACAGGGAAACTGTCTCAAAAAAAAAAAAAAAAAAAAAAAAAAAAAAAAAAAAAAACCAGGAAGGGGGGCACACACCTTTAATCTATCTCCCCAGTGCTGGGAGTACAGGCATGCACTACCAAACACAATTAATATGAATTTGCATGTTATCCTTGTGCAGTGGCCATGCTGAGCCCTTTATCACTCTTATTTTAGTATATATTCTGCCCTCACATGGGTTGGCCATTTTCATTTTCAGTATTCCAGCCAAGTATTTCCCCTATGCTGTTTTTTTTTTTTAAGATATAATAAAGGTTTATTTCCAAAGAGCCCAGAGAGCAACAAATGTTGCATAGCTTTCCCCGTTTTTTTAATTGCTATGTGAGTGCTTTCCATTATTCAAAGCTAAAGCAACTATATCAGATATACAAAACTCCTATGATCATAAAACACTTCTGAATTCTAGCTTTATGAATTGCTGCTCTGCATCCTGTGTAGCCTCCTTTTTATTGTAAAATAAGAATAGTCCCTAGGCAGTCACAACCCAAGAACACACCTCTTGTTTCTCCTTCATCCCTCTCCAAAAAGAGAAGGGAGGACACAAGAAGAAAACACCTGTACAGAGCCCCAGTTCCTGGTTCATGGGTGTGAAGTTCACAGGATGCTGGATGTTCTCTATGGTCTTTGGTCATACACAGATGGTACCTCTGTGCTGTGTTGGCTGTCCCACTGTTCTGTCACACTACAACATGTACTTAGAAACCTCTATTGCTGAAAAGCACGGCCTTTTCACATGGCTCTGCAGGACCTGATAGATAACTAAGAGGATAAAGTTTGGCATCTCTGTCTTTGGTTTGTATGTCTCCTTCAACTGGAATCAAATTCCTCCTAGATTTTACATGTAGGCATGTTAATCATTCAATGAATATTTTGTCTAAAAGCTAGTGACATAAGGTTAATTGGCTCTAAATTTACCTAATCTATCTGATCCCTCTTCAAGACTGAAAGCACAAAAGACATCTGAATTTTTCCAATCAATCATCTTAGATTCCAGGAACATTGGATTTTGTAGATAGATTATGCCACCATGAGATTACCTTTGGTTTGACCAAAACTGTTCAGTTAATGCATAGCTGATCCCTGCCCCAGTTCTTCTCCAGGTGAACCTAAAGCTCAAGTCATTACGCTGGAAATGGGTTTAGATGCTTGATCTTCATCATCTTTTTAAAAATTTATTTCATTTGGCCGGGCGTGGTGGCGCACGCTTTTAATCCCAGCATTTGGGAAGCAGAGGCAGGTGGATCTCTGTGAGTTCAAGGCCAGCCTGGTCTACATAGTGAGCTCCAGGACAGCTGGGGCTATAGGGAGATCCAGTCTCAAAAAGACCAAATATATACATTTCATTTAATTTTGAGACAGTGTCTCACTATGTAGCGCTGCCTAGCCTTGAACTCACAGAGATCCTCTGGGCCTGGAATTGAGGACAGTGGTTAGCACCATGTGGGTGCTGGGCACAGAGCCCAGGTCCTCTGCAAGAGCAGCCAGTGCTCTTAACTGCTGAACCATCTCTCCAGCCCAATCTCCATCTTCTTAATGTGACCCTAGTGATTAAAATCCTTTCTTGCCTTTTCATGGTTACTTTTGTTTGCTTTTTTTGAGGTAAGTGGGCAGACCTAACTTGCTGAGACAGTCAGGATGGGACTTTTGGCGTAGAATTCTGGTTCCAGTACCACAGGAGGAAGAATAAGGCTTAACACAAGGCTTACCTCAGGAGGCGGCAGTGTGTATCAGCTTTTATTTTTACTTACAGCATCAAACATTTTGGTAAGTATTTGGTAAGTATACATTATCTATGTTTTCATTATGAATCACATACTCTGGAAAACCGAAGAATTTATGTGAAGTCTTTTCCTCCCAAAATGAATTAATCCTAATAGGTTATGATCGAGGTTTGTCTAGACCCCTGCGAGGTAACACACGAGGGACCCCGAACGGAGCAGCAGAAGGGCTGAAGAGATGGAGGGCACATGCTGCTCTTACAGAGGACCGGAGTTCGGTTCCTAGCACACACCGGCAGTGGCGGCGGCGGTGGCTCTCACAACCTCTGTAACTCCAGCTCCAGGGCACCGGACGCCTTCTCTGGCCTCCGCGAGCACTTGCACTGTGCTCCCTCCCACATAGACACAATCTTCAAAATAACAGCCTCTGGCCCTGGAGGTGGGCGTGGCCTGCAGGTGACGACACGCCAGGAAGCCCATAGGCCCCGCCCCTTCCCCGCCCCGCTTCGGTCCTGGCAGGCGCCCGGGGCTGTGCGCCCGGCAGGGAACCCTCCAGGCAGGGGCCCGGCTGGGAACGCGGCCGGAGCACCGGCTCCGCGGCCTGGCTCGGACCCCGCCCCGAGGGGTGGGCCGTTGAGCAGTGCGGCGGCGCGGACGGGGAGGAGGAAGGAAGTGTGTAGCCAGAGCGATGTCGTCCAGGCCCGGGCGCGGAGAGCCGGGGGCGCGGCGGCCGCGGGAGCCTCCGGAGCAGGAGCTGCAGCGGCGGCGGGAGCAGAAGCGGCGGCGTCACGATGCGCAGCAACTGCAGCAGCTGAAGCACCTGGAATCCTTGTGAGTCCGGGAGGCCGAGGGACAGGGAACCAGGCCGGGGCTGGGGGATGGGGCACGGGGACGGGGGACCGAGGCCTAGCCTGGGTCGGGAACCGGGCTGGGGAATCGAGGACGGGGGACGGGGCTGGGGGATCGAGGACGAGGGACCGAGGACCGGGACTCAGCGCCGTGGACCGAGGGCGCAGGTCCGGAACAGCCTTAGTGTCCCGGACAGCCTCAGTGTCCGGGCCGGGCCGCAGCGGGCCGTTGGCATCCCGCCCCGAGGCGACCTCTGCTCCCTCCGGGCGTGGGCAGAGGAAGGCCGCGGCCGGGAAGCGCCACCGGGCGTACGAGGGTCGGCTAGCGCCGGAGGGAGGCCGCGTCAGTGTCTCCGCCTGGACCTCTGTGTCTGTGGCCCGGGCGTGCGCTGAGTTCCGAGTAAGCACGATCCGCCGAGCCCTGCGGTCCCTGGGCTCACGGCTCTGATCGATGGCCCCAAGGCGGGCAGAAGCTGAGGGGACCGACAGCTCAGTGCTGAAACTGCGGGGTCCCGAGTAAGACCCCGGAAGGACCAGCAAAGACTGCGGTCGTTAGGAACAGAGACACATGCCCTCCGCAGCCCTGAGGGTGCAGCACTGCCCATGCGGGTGGAGGAGGCCGGGGCCACCCCTGGGCAGTAAGGAGCCAGGTTACCTAGGGTTTGGAGTTTGAAGGTGGTAGAGACAGATTATGGGAGTGAGGGAAGGGAAGTGAGGAATAGAAGTTGCCTTGTTATGCAGACAAGTCTGTCTCTCTCGCTCTCCCTCCCCTCGCTCTCATGTTTGTAAGTGCTGTGCAAAGTGAGGAATAGAAGTTGCCTTGTTATGCAGACAAGTCTCTCTGTCTCTCTCGCTCTCCCTCCCCTCGCTCTCATGTTTGTAAGTGCTGTGCGTGCGTGTGTGTGCGTGTTTGTATGTGCAAGGGTCCTCTTATGTGTGTAGCAGCCAGAGGTCAACCTCTGGTGTCATTCCTTGTTGGTTGGGTGTGTGTATGTGTCATATGGGTATGGAGGCTGCTGTCTTTCCTCAGGGGCCATCCACCTTTTGAGTCAGAGTCCTCTCAGTGGTCAGGAACTCATCAAGTAGGCTAGGCTGAGTGGCCAGTGAGTCCCAAGGATCTGCCTGTCTTCTCCATCCCTGCTGTCATGACAGGTTCACACCACCATGCTCCAGCTTTTTTTTTTTCTTTTTTTCTTTTTTTTTTCTGTCTTTTTGAGCTCCCTGTAGCCCCAACCCGCCTGGAACTCACTATGTAGACCAGACCAGGCTAGCCTGGAACTCACAGAGATCCACCTGTGTCTGCCTCCCATGTGCTGAGATTAAAGCCGTTGGATACCATGCCATGCTCCAGCTCTTTCTACATGTGTTCTGCGGACTGAACTCCAGGTTTTGTGATTGCAAGGCAAGCACTGTACTTGACTGAGCTATATCTCCCCAGCCCATACTTTTGTTGTCTGAGTATTCTTGACTCTTTACCTATATTGAAGAGTGAAGTACTATAAAGTTGGGCATGGTGGCACACACCTATAATCCTAGCACTAAGAAGGCTCAGACCAGAGGATTGCAGTAAGAGTAAGGGCAGCCTGTGCCACATGGTGAGTTCTAGGCTAGCCTCAGAAATATAGTGAGACCTTGTTTCAAAAATAAAAACAGGGCTAGAGAGATAGCTCAGCAGTTAAGAGTACTGGCTGCTCTTGCAGAGGACCCAGGTTCACTTTCCAGCACCCACACAGCAACTAGCAACTATCTGTAACTCCAGTTCTAGGGGATCTGACACCCTTTTCTGGCCTCTGCAAGCATTGCACACATGTAGTGCACATATATGCAGGCAAAACACTCATAGGATAAAAATAATTTTTAAATGAGTTTAAACCAAACCTACATTCCTCCTGAGTAGGTAGGACAGCTCTTAACCACTCAGCCATGTCTCTAGCCCCCTTACATTTTTAAAGCTCCTGGAAGGAAAACAGATACATGTGTAGCAGATCAGTCAGTCATGTTCAGTGGGAAGCAGCACAGTGGATTTTTACAAATGAAGTCAGGTTTGCTCCTGATGCACCCTCCTCAGGTCTCCCTTAGTCTCCACAGCACTTTTCTCTCTACTAGGGGTATCTGAGTCTTCTACCCATTCTCTAGCCTTCTTACCCATTAGTTAAGAGCTCCTGAGCTGCCTGTCAGGGGTGTGTCTTGTCTCTGCCTTGCAACCCCTCAGAGGCAGCTGCAGGAACGTTTGTGGAATGGAGTATACTTACATAAAGACCTCAAAGAAATCCTACCTACCACACCACAGAAAAAGTCATTAAAATACTTCACAAAGTAAAGATTTCTTGATTGGGCACAGAGACCCTTGCCTATAATCCCAGCACTCCCAAGGGTGAGGCAGGAAGATGATGACTCTGAAGCCTACGAGAGAGAGAGAGAGAGAGAGAGAGAGAGAGAGAGAGAGAGAGA